CTGCCACCATACCAAAGCTGGAAAACTGTCATCAACACTACCTGTCAACCAGCCCAGAGTCCAATGGAGGAGATAAAACCTAACTTTGGTACCCAAATAGGTTCATCTCTTTGTAAAACGTATTTTCCCTTTGCAAATTATTGACTTGCCTACTGAATAACATGACTACCAGGACCAAGGACTAGAAGGCCCAACCCAGGAGTGTAGGGAAGATGGCATACAACTTTGAGTCTTCCCCACTCCATACCTGTGATCTCAACCCTCTCTCCTTATCCCTGTCCCAGAAGCCCTTGTGTCTCTGCCATGGACCAGCTACTCCCAAAAGTCATGCCTGACTCGTCTTGACTCTGCCCTACCTCAGCCTGGCAGTTGCACCACAAAGATATTTAAAGGAGAGGCCAAGAAACTCCTCCAGTGAAAAACCAAACTCTGCAGCATTTATTGAGAATGAAGAACCATGGGCCGATTTGAATTATTATATCTTCCTGCAGCTGTTCCCTTTTAAATATCTATCCTGGCAAATACCACCCCCGCTTTTTACAGCTTATTTTCAATGTATGACTATTAAGCAAACCATACCATAAAATTGGCTCTCGCTGCTGAGACTTATGGGCTTCACAGACCAGAGCTTATTAAAAAGAAATCTACTGAGAACAAACTAGGCTCACAAATGCCCTGCACCCTCTCTAGGAAAGTGTGAAGGCTTTTCCCTGTCCCTGCAGGGTTTCCAAGCTTTTCATAGTGAGTGGCATAGAAAATGAGCAGAATCTACCCATTTCCTTACGATTATTTTTCCTTCTTAACAATCTTGATGTGTCTAAACTGAAGCTCTGAGAGGCTCACAAACAAGATAAATGCTCTGGAAGATTTATAATCAAGGTCTAAGGGAAGGACTTGATCATGGGACTTTGATGAAACAGCTAGGAACAGGCATAAGGTATCCTAATTATTTGTCATCAAGACAGTTCTTAAGTTGGACCATAGAACTACTTTAAGACTCCAATAAAAGCTCTTCCCCTAAAATGCACATACACACAAACATTTGTATAAAATTTCAGGGGGTTCAAGGGCACCCCTGAGCCTATCCATAGATCTTCTAGGAGTCCATGAGCCTCGGGTTATTTATCACTTCCATTTTTACCTCCCAAGCTACCCTCATTTCTCTAGGTTATGGCAGGAGCTGCCAAACTCATTTCCCAATTTCTCTACCCAGCAGCCAGAGTGACCCTGTTAAAACCTAAGTGAGATCATGCCACTTCTCTGCTCAGTACAATTCACTGGCTTCCCATTTCACCTGGAATATAAGCCAAAATCTTTACAATGGCTTACAAGGCCCTGCAAGATCTGTCTCCCTGCTGCCTTGGTGATTTCATCTTCCGCTCTTCTCACCCTTCTCTCCTGCTCTAGCCACCTGGCTCTCCTTGCTATTCTACCACATTCTGGCCTCTGGGGCCTTACTGATGCTCCTTCCACCTTAGATCTCCACGTGGCTCTCTCCTTCCAGTCTTTACTCAGTTGTCACTTTGTCAGTGAGAACTTCCTGACCACTGCATTTAGAACTGCAACCTCCCACCCTCCCAGCACTTCTGCTGCTCCTCTGCTTTTTCTCCATAGCACCCATCATCATCTTGCACACTATGCAATTTACTTTTCTTTTTCCCAGACAAAAGTTCTTACATATTTATTACTGAACCAACCTATTATTGCAGAAGCATAAAAACAAAGGAAGAAACCAGAAGTTTCCCAATAAAGCATGTTCAATTGTTCAGTTAGTGGCAAAATTTTCAGCTTGATGTGGTAAGATGCTAGTGAACCTGACAGAGCATAAATATGTGCCATCACCTATGTGACTCCTTATAGACCCAGCTTTGTTCTTCTCCAGTGTCTCCTCTTGGAGTTATATATGATTTTATTACCAGTCTTCATTTGAAGCCACTGGGGAATGGGGGACAATTCTGCCTGTTTATTGGCCAGGAATCGCTTAATCCTGAAAGTCTTGTGAGAAGACATGGTGGGATGAAAGTCTGCAATTTACTTTTTTGGGTATTATCTCCCACACTAGCCTGTTAGCTCTCGAGCGCAAGGAATTCTGTGTTTTGTTTCAATACTGTATTCCAGCTCCTGGAATAGTGCCTGGCACATGTCACAGCAGCGACGGTTGTCGGGGCAGCAGAGACAATAATCAATGCCACAACTCTTACAGAGAAATGGGGCCAGGAGGGTCACTCCGAGGAGTCAAACCCCGGCTTCAGTCCCAGGAGTTTATTTTATAGTCAATCCAGCAAGCAGTGAAGCAAATAACAGAACAATGGGCTTTGGGTGAGTAACAATAAGTTTCGGGCAAGGGAGAAGGAATTCAGGTAAACAAGCCAATCAGTAACAGGACAATAGGTTTGGGAAAACAAGTCGTGCCTAATCTCTTTCTCATCGCTGACAAGTCTCCAACATGTCGTATACAGCATAGAGGCCTGTGGGGGCTGCAGTTGTCAATAGTGCAGCCATGTTTAAATGGCATATATCCCCACAGGCACACAGTAGGCACTCAGTAAATAACCTGACTGACTGATGAGTAACTGAATTATTAAAAGCTCTACAGTGGTATGAATGTACCCAGGCTGGGAAGTGGTGGGAAATGTACATTTGCTGAAACACTTCTAATGGCCACAAAGTTTGCAAGTCAGTATCAGTCATCTCATTTAATCGTCACACACAGTCCTAACACGTAATTTTATCACCATTTCACCACAAAAACTGAGATCCAGAGGAGTTAAGAAAACAGACTAAGGTTACACAGTGGTGGAACACAATTCAAATCTAAGTCTGTGATTTCTAAGCCCTGTTTTCCCCACCATACATTACCTCATTCTCCTTGGTAGCAGTTCCCACTTCCAACGGTTGGCCTCAAAGAATGAGGCTTAATACATCCAAAACAAAGCTCATCCTCCTACCTCAAATACTCCCTCCTCCCCTCTCATTTTGTTTCAGTTGATGATCTATTATCTACTTGCTCACTTGAGTCATGCTCATTTCATCTTTAGATAAATGAGCATTTCATCTAGAAGAGAATTTGGAATTCAAATGTTCCTCAAAAACGCGTCCTCTCCATCCCAAGTTTGTTCAGGCCACTTTCATTTTTACATGGGTCACCATAAGTGCCTTTCAATTGGTCTGCTTGCTTCAGCCTCTCCCCTACTGAAATTCAACAGTAACTCCTATTCCGTAAAGCCCTTCATGGCTCCATCATCTACAGAATAAAGGCCAAGTTCTTTCACAATATGACCCTTGCTTACCTGTCTAACAACGCCCTATTGTTTGTCGTTCCCAAACCCTGAACAAGTTCACCTACCTTCTCTGAGCTGCTACCCTTTTGTAAAAATAGGCATCCTAATCTCTCATAGCGGGCCCTGGTGGCTCGGTGCTTAAACACTGGGCCGCTAACTCAAAGGTCCGCGGTTCGAACCCGCCAGCCGCTCACCGGGAGAAAGACTTGGCAGTCTGCTTCCTTGACGATTACAACCTTGGAAATTCTATAGGGTCGTTATGAGTCATGACTGGACGGCAATGGGGTAATCTCTCATAAAGCTGACTTGAGGTTCAGAAGAGATAATGCACTTAAAACTAGATATAATGTAAAGGGTTATTTTTCTATATCTCTCTTGCACAATTTCATATCTCCATATACAATGTCTCTTTTTAATTCAATATTTACTGAACTAAAAAAAAAAAAAAA